GTTTTCTGATTCATTTATACAATGTGTCAGAATATATAAACCTGTTTGGAAAAATCAGCTCTCCCTTCCTTGATTAATAAATTCAGCAATGACAAAGTTATATAGAACGTCACTTGTGACTCAATGTGTGATTGAGTAGCTCAAAGTCAGCTTGAAGGCCTCAGCTATGAATTTAGAAATGTATTTAAAAGCTGGAGTTGAAAGCAACTGAAATTTAAGATAAATGAAAATGGACGGGATGCATGTTTATTTATTTATTTAGCAACCAGTTATGCCCGTAGAGTGTTTGCCATTGCTCTACTGTAATAATTGATGTTGATATTTGATATTGGCATTTTTGGAGAATTACAATTAAGTGCATTTACTGTTAGGCCTGCTGATATTCAGTGAGAAAAACCTTGTGAAATAGGGCCCAGGTGCAGATCTTAACTTGCAGTACATTCCACTTTAAATGACTTCATTCCACTTCAAATGCACTCTGTAATTGAGCATTTTGATGGGAGTAACAAGCAAAACAGGCAAATGAACATTTTCATTAATAATTGGAAGAATAATATAATGGCAGCTAAAAGCACGTAGATAGAAAGATATACATATAGATAGATATATTGTATCTCCATACAATCTTTCTTAATCACACAGCCCAAAGCCCATACTCACACAAACATTATGACACACGGTTTCCTGAGAAATCAAATCTACAGCAAGCAAAGACAAATATCCACAGTTGGTTTTGTGCAGGTAACCCCCACCCAGACAAAGATCCTAACCAAATCATCAAATGCAGCGTGCGAAGATAAGACCAGCCGTTGCTCTCTGTCTGGTGACGTTAGTTGGGTGTGGGCCTCTGGATAGTGAAAATCAGCTTTACTGAATTGTTTGGGGTTCTTAAAGCACTTTGTTCAAGGTTATGTACGAGGATTTCTCAGAGGCATGTCACAGCTTGCCACATGCCGCCAGTGTATTTGCATTCGGTTTGGTGTGGGTGCATATATGCATTTACTTCCTTTAAAAAATTACATTTGTGTGTTGTGATAGATTCTACTGTAGTTATAGCCATGTTTTTGGCATTGTTTAGTGTGCATACAAACTTATGTCTTTATTTATGTAGTATAATGTTAAGAGACTGCTATCTTCCTCTCAGTTATACCGTGTGTGTGTGTGTGTGTGTGTGTGTGTGTGTGTGATTACATTTGTTGTGATAGATTCTACTGTAGTTATAGCCATGTTTTTGGCATTGTTTAGTGTGCATACAAACTTATGTCTTTATTTATGTAGTATAATGTTAAGAGACTGCTATCTTCCTCTCAGTTATACCGTGTGTGTGTGTGTGTGTGTGTGTGTGTGTGTGTGTGTGTGTAAACCAGTTCCCGGCCCTACCAAAGCAGGTTAGGGCAGTTCTCATTCATACCTGCCTACCGTCTTAGCTCTGCCTCTTTTCTCTCACTTCCTGTATCAGGTGCATGCATGTGTGAGTCAGGAGTTGGCGTCCCAGTGCATGATATGATGGCCAGGGGTCTCTGGACTGAAATACTCACTTGAAGACTATTGGGACAACTTTCAAAGTTTACCTGACATCAGGGAAATTTTTAACCTGTGGCCACAGGGACAAAGTCCTCTTATTTTCTCTTTTACTTTCTCTCATTCACTCTCCTTTCTCATTTTCCCTCTGCCGGAGCGGTTGGATTACTTGTTCAGGTAAGCAGGAGAAATACACCGGTCTGAATATATTTACTCAGCACATTTTGTCTGTAACTTTCACCTGATGCTGATTTTTGTTTGATAATCATGTACTTGTTGACTCAGCACAGCTGTGGAGAAACTTTCTTTGTGTATAAAGCAACATGAACCCTTTGAAGTCACAAAGCCTGTGAAAATGTGTGTTTGTGCACATGGAGGCATGTGTGTAAGCATGGCGCAGGTGTTGATGTTCATATATTTGTAGTGTAAACACCTTTAGCTTAGATTGATCATCGTCATCATTATTCTCTGGGTAAGAGAAAGTTTGTTTCAGCGGTTCTGACCACCAGCTGTTTAGCCAGGAAAACCAAGAGCATGTCACCTGTCAGTATGCGTGAATGTGTGTGTGTGTGTGTGTGTACATATTATAGTACATTGCATGATCATATAATAAACAATTTTTCATTTAATTAAAATATTTTAAGATTTAAAAGAGTATTTTTGAACCAGACTGTATGTGACATCAGTGGAACAATAAGATGGCATAGAGAGGGATAGATAGGATGTTTGAGACAAGAGCCTAAAGAAACAGAATGAAAACGTGTTGGAATAAAAGTGGGTTGAAGAGGAAGATGGAAGGAGAGGGGTTCATACAGAAAGAGGCAGAAAACGAAACGGTGGGGGTGAGCTATGTAGATTTACATATGAACACTTATGTAACTCTCCCCACGCTCCGCTGGCGTGAAGTTCTGATGTTCCCCTCCTACATACCAGAAACATGTAGCCTCATTTCTCATATGGATTGTGTTTGTCCAAAATGTCTCTTTTGAGATATATTTGCATTGTTTGTAATTATTTTCCTCATGCACTCACTCACTCAGAACACCCACTACTGTCATCACTCCATGAGTGTTATTTTTTGTGTGTGGCTAATATCCATAATTTCCACTGAATAGTCATTATATGTGCATTAATCACTGTATGGATTTATTGCAATATTCATTAGCTATATGACGCAACAGTTGAATGTTTAATCAAAAGGTAAACCGCAAGGGTCCTTGGTAGGACCTATAACTTGACCATTCAACCCTGTTCAACAAAATGATTATATAATATTGTGTGCGTATGCGTGTGTGTATGCATATAGATATAGATAGATAGATTTTATAATGTCTATAGATCTAATTTTGATATTTAATATTTATTGCTATAACAGCCAAATAGCACAAATCAGCATTTAGTTCAACATTTATAGGTTGTCTAACTATTCGTTCAAGTTGAAATCAGAGCATGCAAAGATTCAGATATGCTGTGGAATGTTCTTCTACAACATGTCTGAACAAAGCGTGGTGAAGTCAAAAACAGATCCACAGCAGGACTGAGAGCAAGAGATCCACCCAGCTGCCTCTTTTCTTACAGTGCTGCCTTCATCAAGCATGTCTATCTGTTCTATTCTAACAGAAGCACAGGTGGTATTGCAAGGCTGAGATGTTATTAGGGGGGAAAATGCCATCTATAAGCATTTTCACTAGTGGTCTCAGACTTTTAGACCCCACTATATATTTCTGTGTTTGCGTTTGCATTAATTCCTTCAGTGGTGCATTGTTGTGCACTTTGTGTGAAGGAAAACGTATGTGTTTGTCTGTGCTGAGTGATATAAAAGTGCTGACACACACACACACACACACACACTCACACACACACACACACACACACACACACAAAACAAGGCTGATTAGGCACAATATTACACCATGATTGAACCATTAATACACACTATGTTCTGTGTAGGTCTGTATATTCCTTCCATTAAGCCATTTATTGAGGATATTTACAGCATTTTCAGTCATTAAACATTGATCCCACTGGATCTAAGATCAAAATGTGCTGTTTATGTGTGTAGCTTTCTGGTTGATTGTATGCTTTAATGCCAATAGCACTCTTTATGCTTAGTAAACTTACCACCACTTTCCTCTGGGCCAAAGGTCGCTTGAGAAACAATATTATCTCCTCAGAGGAAAATATGAGTGAAAGAGACAGAGTTGAAGGAAAGAAAGTAAAATGAAACAAGCAGTTATTAAGTTCTGTCTGTTTGTTTGGGACAATGGATTTTTCACCAGAAGTGCCTTTGAATATGGGAAGACAAAAGAAAATGGAAAATTGCAATTGAATAAGAGCCGCAGGGTAAAAGCAATTATTTTTGTGTGTTTGTGTGTGTGT